TAGCAAGATCTGTCTGGACCTTATGATAACTCCTTTAAAATCAATATTTAAGAGTTTCTAATTGAAAGTACCTTTTTGACTTGTTGACTTGACCTTTTGATCATGTTTCCCTCTCCCCTGATTCCTCGCAGATCTACAAACTTTACATTCTTTCTCTCTTTAAACCAGACAAGACAACAAAACTAGAAACATTAAAACCCTGAACTCTAACTTCAGAAGCATGCAAACACCTTCTCCAGTTCCCAAGGCATTTTCTTTTATTATGCAATCTTTCTAGCACAAGGTAAAGCACAAGCTTTAAGGATTGATCACTCCAGAGTAACTTAAGCAAACAGTAGCTACCTCAACTTGAGTGGATCTTTTCCTGAAACTACATTTTCCACATGTCCCTGACAAGTCCTGGAAGAAAAACTGATAGTTCAGCTAAAAGGTATGTATTCTAAATCAAGTTGCTTCTATCAAATTCAGTATTCTATAAGTTGAGGGGGGGCAGGAACTAGATTGTCTTTCACTACATTCCGAAGCTTTTATTGCAAGAGGAAATATAAAAAGCTTCAAAGATGGATCTGTCCCACATTTAGAAAAACCTAGATTCAGTTCAAGCTCAACCACCCTCCTCCCAACAGTCCATTTTGTTATTCATGTAGATTTACATCTGAACTAAGTTTTGAAAGTCTAGTATTCACATTAAAATGTGATTTGTTTGTTTACATTTTCTTTCCAAAGATAATTAAATGGTTAAGCCTTGATTATAGACTCCAAGGAAACGAAACATGTTTTAAATTCACAAGTCTTAAATTTCAACAGTAAAATATAGACTCAATATTTTCATCTGCTCTTAATTAAGGCAGAAAGCCACAATTAGTTTTGAGAATAAATATACACAGCTTAAAATGAATTCTTTCTCTTGCTATGGAAATTACTTAGATTTCTACCTTTAGTATAACTAAATTTTATCAGGAAAGGAATCCCAAGCCAACCAAAGAAACTTTGTGTCTCTTCCCAATAATTTAAAATGGCTACTTTGTTAATAATAAAGGAAAGAGAGATTAGATTTTGTAGTGTCAAGGACAACTAAAGAGGTAAAAATGTAAGAAGTGAGGCTTGGGAGAGCTCCATCAGTAAAGTACTTGCCAGAGAAGCTTGAGGATGTGACTACACAGGAAACATGAATAAATCATGTAGCCATATCATTCTAGGCTTGCTATGACCAAAAAATGTCCTGAAGTTAACAAACTTCAATGAGCAAGGACAGTTAGCAATAAACAAAACTACAGAAACCAAAATAAAGATTGGTGCATTTAGGAACCTCACCAGAAGTATGGACTATGATGGAATAGGTCTTTGTTCTCATTTTGGCAGGTGTTCAGATCCATGTGATGGATCATAATGGATCATAACCATTAAATCATAATGGTACCTTGGTACCCCCAACATGGCATCACTTGTGCTATGGTTTGAGTGCCTATTACGTGTCAAGAATCTGAGATGAGAATAATGAGAGAAATTTATCGCCCAATCACACTCAAGGATGCAGCGACCAGTTCTAACCAGGCAAGTGTTTTTAAAATACAATTCCACAGAAAATGACACCAGCATAGAGAAAGACAAAAGTGGCTGGGCATAGTGATTGGGCATGAGATAGTGGTTTTTAAAATCCCTAATTGTGAGAAATGTTGGCTCCCTTTCCCATAGGCTGCTACTCCAGTGTGGCAACCTTTGTACTTTTCTAGCATAATCCTCTTCCCACATTCGATTGCTTTATCTAATGAATATCCTAGGGCTTGAGATTGCCCCTTTTTCTTTTTTCCCATTTTTTATTTTATTTCATTTTACATTCCAACCACAGTTCTCCCTACTACCCCTCCTCCCAACCCCCTTGCCTCCCACCCAGCCCACCTCCAGTCCACTCCTCCTCAGGTAAGGGCTCCCATGAAGAGTCAACATAGTCTAGTACAATAGGTTGGGGCCAGGCTCTCTCCCATACATTAAGACTGAGCATGGCATCCCACCATAGGGAATGGGCTCCAAGAAGCCAGCTCATGTACCAGGTTTATATCCTGGTCCTATTGCCTGGGGCCCCTTAGCTAGTCCAAGCTTCACAACTGTCTCCCACATATGAAGGGCCTAGTTTAGTCCCCTGGACTCTCCACAGTTGTAGGTCTAGAGTCCATGAGTTTCTACAAGCTTGTTCAGCTGTCTCTGTAGATTGCTCCATCATGATCTTGCCCTCCCTTGCTCATGTGTTCCCTCCTCCCACTCTTCACCTTGGATTCCTGGAGCTCGCCTGGTTTTTGGTTGTGGATCTTGGCATCTGGTTCCATCAATTACTGGATGAGGAGATCGCCCCCTTTCCTGATAGGAGGCTTGAACACATAACAGACTGCCTGCAATTTTCCACCTCTCAAGAGTTACAAGACAAGCAGGTGCAAGGGGAGAAAGGAGCCTAATGCCTCCTACTTACCTATGACTGACTATATAATGAACTCTGAGCACACCTCATATTGAAAATTGGCTAGAATGATTTATTTCTTATAGAAACTAAACCAAAAACCCCAACTAGTACTGAGTCCATTATGAAGCAGAACTCTTAGTTCACTGGTACATTTGGAACTCATTAGTTCAATCATCCTGAGAACAGGACACCAAAGGCAAGGTATCTTCTTTGTAATGGATTCCATTCTGGCACAATTCAAGAACTTAATGTCTCAAATGTTTTGCTCTTCCATTTGTTTGGTTTGGGCCTGGGAAGGAACTCAAGAGCAAAGGACAGACTTATTCAAAAGTAAAACAAGATGTTACTTGGAGCCATTGAGTTGACTCAGTGGATAAAAGCACTTGCTGCCAAATTTGACTCCATGAGTTCAATCCCCAGAACTCACAGTAGAAGAACTGACTTCCACAAGTGATCCTCTAACCTACAGATGTATATAGCAATGATTGATTACAAGCACATCTACCCTCCCCCAAAACACACATACACAATAAAAATAATTTAAAGAAAACTTAAAAAGTAAAAGATACTATTTGCAAACAAGCTTTGTAGTAACCAAAGGATATTTTTGTTGCCATGTGTCTGGTGAGCAAAGCACATAGAACAAATTAAGCCCCAGAGGACTGGTCAATAGGAAGCTTGTTTGGATACATGAAAGGCAAAAGGCTAAAGGGGATGATGAAGTATGTCCCCCATACAGAGACACATATGCTTTGATAGAGTGTGCACACCTGCAAACACAAAGTTGCAAGAAATAACGAATGTTGACTTAGAGAAAATAAAACAAGTAACCTAAGTCCCAAAAGGAAGTTAACAGAAATATGCTAACTCACACCCATGCTCTAAGGTGTGTCCATGGTTCTCATTCTCTTAGCCTATATGCTTAAAATCTGTTTTAAAATACCTTTAATATACCTTGACTGTGCTTTAAAAATATCAGCAGTGTTGAGGAAGGGAAGAATGACAAAAGATGTATGTACTTTTTATGCTGGAGAGGATGTGGAGAAAGGGGAACACTCCTCCACTGCTGGTGGGAGTGCCAACTCCTACAGCCACTTTGGAAATCAGTATGGGGACTCCTCAGGAAAAGGGGAATCAGTCTATCACAAGGTCCAGCAATTACACTCTTAGGCATATACCCAAAAGAAGCACATTCATAGAACAAGGACATCTGTTCAACCATGTTTGTAGCAGCACTATTTGTAATAGCCAGAACCTGGAAACAACCTAGACACCCCTCAACTGAAGAATGGATAAAGAAAATGTGGTACATTTACACAATGGAGTACTACTCAGTGGAAAAAAATGTAATCTTGAAATTTGCAGGCAAATGGATGGAACTAGAAGAAACCACTCTTGAGGGAGGTAACCCAATCACAAAAAGACAAACGTGGTATGTACTCACTCATATGTGGATTTTAGACATAGAGTAAAGGATTAACAGCCTACAATCCACACTGCCAGAGAAGCTAGTAAACAAGGAGGATCCTCAGAGAGACATACATGGTCCCCTGGAGAAGGGAAAAGGGACAAGATCTGCTGAGCAAATTGGGAGCAGGGGGGAGGGGGGAGGGAGCTAGGATACTGAGAAGGGGAGACGAGGAGGGGCGAGGAAGACATGATGGGACAGGGAGGTTGAGTTGAGGGAAGAACAGAAGAGAGCAAGATAAGAGATAATATAATAGAGGGAGACATTATAAGTTTAATCTTGGTCCCCAAACTGATAGCTGGGATACCAGCATGGGACTGATCCAGACCCCATGAGCGTGGGTTTCATGAGGAGACCTCGGAAATCTACGGGACCTCCTGTAGTAGTTCAGTACTTATCCTTAGTATAGGTGTGGACTTTGGGAGACCATTCCACTTAGAGGGATACTCCCTGAGCCAAGACACACAGGGGTGGGCCTAGGCCCTATCCCAAAGGATATGATAGACTCTGATGACCCCCTATGGAAGGCCTCACCCTCCCTGGGAAGCAGAAAGGATGTGATAGGTAGGGTTTTAGTTGGAGGGGGTGTGGTAGAGGAGGACGGGAGGGAGAGGGAATTGGGATTGACATGTAAAACAATCTTGTTTCTAATTCAAATAAAAAAATCTGAAAAAAAATGTATGTACTGTGAAAGCAAAAAGCAGACTATTTAGGTGGGAGTGTACAAGGGGTCAGAGAGACAAGAGGACAGAAGAGAATAAAGGAATAGGAGGACCAACAAAAGCAAATTATGTTTGAAAATGCTGTAAGGAAATCCAATACTTTCTAGGCTAACTAAAATAATTTTAATTGAAAAAAATACAACCTGAATAGACCATTCTCGGGAGAAAGGAACAAGATATGCTGGTATTTACTGCAATGGGGCTGAAATTAAATAACATTTCAAGTGGCCTTACAACTATTCCTAACCAATTCAAGCAATAAATTCATTCTTTTGTAACCACAATGTCAGGAGAAACATGTTGAAATAATCAAACATCTGGTACCCTCTTTGTTGCAAAAAGAAAACTCCACTCATTTTGGCAATTTTAAATGCTAGCTTTTATTTACTGCAAATTGTGCAAAGGACACCATAATACTGTGCAGTAGGACAGTTATGTAAATCCAGTATTAAACAATACCATATGTGGCAAATGTAAAGCAGAACATCATGTCCCTTCAAAACTAATTAACATCAGACTGCAATCCAGTTCTTACAATTCTTAAAGAAACCCGAAGAGCATAGGCTCTTGTTTGGTTTTTCCCTCTCTATATTTCTTGAAAAGCAAAAATCATATCAATTTTAAACAGTTGATCAAGATGCATCATATCTTAAGAAAACAGCTTATAAGTTTTCCGCTCTTTTATCAATTGGCACATCAGTTAATACAATATTCACAAGCTGGCTAACAGGAAGCTGTCTACAATAAATTTGCTTATAGGGACTAGATGTGCATTCATATTCATAACACAAAGTGATATGCCCTTGTTTTAAAGCAATATTTTACTTCAAAAGTAAAACAATTTGAAAGACATACAGTGAACATTCTTACTACCTAAACCACTGAAGAACTAATACAAAACATTTATCAACCATAAAAGTAAAAATGGCAGCAAAGAATATTTCATATTGCCAAATCTTAATTCTGAGGGGTATAATGAGGTGAGTTAGGTAGAAGCATATAACCGATTGGCCCAGAATTTATAGCACCATGGACCTGAGCAGAACCACCATATGCTGCGCCAACTGGATGCCACATGGCAACAGTGGGATAATCAGATGCAACAGGAATGTAGGTATCAAAACCTGGCAAAGGTGCGCCATAGGTATCTGTCATTACTGGGTAATAGACTGGTCCATGAGGGACAGGTACAGCATCAGCAACGGGAAAAGCATCTGAAATGAAGAAAAGATATATGTACACTCTATTGTAAAAACTCACTAAATGTAAATGAATACTCATGCAATAAAAATTAAATATATTATAAGAAAGAACACAGGGCCTGTCAGGAAGGCTGCTCAGTGGGTGGGGACACTTTCTGTCAAGCTTGACATTCTAGTGACCCACATGGTGAAGAGAGAAAGCTGACTCCTTTCTTGGGTTGTCCTCTGAGTGCTGCATGTGAACCAAGGCATGCATACACACAGGCACACATTTTTTCACACACACACACACACACACAGAGAGAGAGAGAGAGAGAGGGAGAGAAGGACACAGAGACAGGCATGCAGAGAGAGAGAGAGAGAGAGAGAGAGAGAGAGAGAGAGAGAGAGCCTCATACTTGCAGGATCAGATGTAAGCTCTTAGATATTGCTCCAGGGCCATGCATGAGTATGCCTGCCACCATGCTCCCCACACCATGATCATCAAAAGACAAATGTTCTGGAATTGTAAGCAAGCTCTCAATAAACTCTTTTTTCTCTAAGTTACCTTGGTCATGGTGTCTCTTTATAGCAACAGAAAAGTAACTAAGAAAGTCAAAGAAAGAGATAGGGCTACAACTCAGTGGTAGAACTAACTCTTGCCTGGAATGCATGCATGAAGCCCTGTGTTCAATCTGCAGTACCACATGAAGATCAAAAAAAAAATCTTAATTATATTTGCAAAGACCACTGGCCTCATGCATGAATCCTTCCCTTTCAAAGACCCCAATGATCATAAGGCATCTACTTATTACATTTTCAGAACTGACAGTCTAAAAGCATATGGATCTGATGAAATATCTTAAGACTAAATTATATACAATAAACCCCAACAGACTTTTTTGCTAGCAATCTCATTATATACTCACCATTTGTTGAAGCTTCTTCTGCCTGTGTGTCATCTGCTCTCGCTACATCACTGTGCAAATTCGGAACACTTTGGTCTACAAGAGGTTGCTCAGTACAATCTGGATAATTCTCTACATGAAGCTGCTGTGGCTGCTCCTCCTGCACATGTGGCACATAGACCATGGAGTGCCAGTAGTTTTGATGATAGCACTGGAACAAGAAAAGGTATAAGTAAAAACTTAAAAATCCTTATTGTTTTCTTCTGAAAGTAGGATAATTCCTAGCTTAAAGAAATCAGATTTCTAGGGGCTAGAGAGATGGCTCAGTGGTTAAGTGCACTGGCTGCTCTTCCAGAGGACCCAGGTTCAATTCCCTGCACCCACAAGCAGCTTGCAAGTGTCTGTAACTCTAGTTCCAATGGATCTGACACCTTCATACCAATGCACATAAAGTTAAATAAATTATTTTAAAAAAGGCTGGGCATTGGTGGCACACTCCTTTAATCCCAGCACTTGGGAGGCAGAGGCATGCGGACCTCTGTGAGTTCGAGGCCAGCCTGGTCTCCAGAGCGAGTGCTGGGATAGGCTCCAAAGCTACACAGAGAAACCCTGTCTCAAAAAAAAAAAAAAAAGAAATCAGCTCTCAATTCTCAGGTGTTAAAACAACTGATATGTACAAAGTTTTTTAAGCTTAGAACTGTAGCTCATGTCTATACCACCTATAGCTCATATTTACACCTAGGGAAGCATTTAGGAAATCATATCAAAGAAATCAAAGATATAAACATACTTGTAAACAAGGATGCCACTTGTAGCCTTATTTTTTAAAGTAAAAACTACTGAAAAACCTAAGTATTCACCAATATGGAGCTGAGATAATTGTTACATCTCAGTGGCAGAATACTACACAGGAAGAGTCGTGGTATGAAAT